TAGTCTCGACCAGTATCACTATTCCAATGTCTTGCAGTAATTGTTTGAACGCGACTCTGTTTTGGACTGCCTCTGACTCGACGAACTACTGGCTCCTTGCCTACTCCTGAGGCACAGTATTTATTAAGTATGGAATAGTCCATTATTATTATTATGGGTAAGATCCCATAACAATTTTCCTGAAAGTTTCTTTTAAGACAGAGATTTTATAGATTTCAACTGAAAGTAGCACTGGCTGCTTGGTCAATGAATGATGCATGTTTCCTTATAAGGAAATGGCTAATATGATCATTACCATGAATGATAATTTTCACATATGTTCTTTTGACCAGATTTTCTCAAAATTTCTAAGGCAAGATTCACCTTTTCATTAGATCAAATGTCTAAAAAATATACACCTCTAAATTATTTTTATATACACTGACAGATTTTATTATGCAAGCCAGTGTTTTCACAATAAAACAACTTGCATCTGTGAACAACACAGTTTTGTTTTACTATGTACACCTCTGATGATGATCTTGGAAACACTTGGGTAATGGAAAATAAAACGGATTTTCACAGTTATAGCACATTTCTCACATCATTTAATTGCAACGCACGGAAGGTTATCTGTGAGTATGAACGAATTTTATTAAAAATAGGCAGGCATAATATCTGTAATTTATTTAATCAGACATGCCTAAATGAGAATTTGCTGCTGAAATACAAATATATATAATATATATATATATATATATATATATATATATATATATATATATATATATGTATGTATGCAAAATGTGTATGTATACAAATATATATATATATATATATATATATATTTTAAGACATTTTTATGTTTATACATTCTTTTTATAGATACAAATATTTAAGTAAATGCTCTGTTTATAATAAACAGTATTAAACAACATTTACCAGCCTGAATGTCTGAGAAATTTTCAGAGAAAACATTCGTCCTCCAACAGGATTTGAACCTGTATCCTATACGGAATTGTCATTTAGGTTGACGTGCCTTTACCGATTTGATCACGAAGGAGTGTTCAGTTATTTTACATACACATATATATATATATATATATATATATATATATATATGTAAAATGTGTGTGTGTGTATATATATATATATATATATATATATATTTTGAATAATAAAAATATTAAAAAATTAAAATCTTCAGACACACTGGGTTGTAGATTAATATTCTTTCGTTTTTTTTATTATTATTTTATTTAGATTCCTATATATATATATTTAGATTATTATTTCATTTAGATTCCTATATATATATATATATATATATATATGCACAGTACTTATTGAAAGCAGTCAATATCAGTGATAGAGCTAACATATTTAGTTGGATTGGTGCCTATATATATATATATATATATATATATATATATATATATATATATATATATTATGGGTATGTTATCAGTGTTCTTGATTTGGCACAGTTCAAAATGAATTTCTTCTTTCATGTATTTATTATTGATGAAATTCTAATATTTGGGGTCTTAAATGACAATTTATGTAAAACAAAGAATGCCTTATGCACTCACAAATAGCAAGAAACAGGATTTGACCAGTTTTAAGAAACTTCCAAGAATTTCTCTCAGCTTTCATCTTAAGAATGGCTTTTTGTCTTATAAAAACAACATTTGTTTTTTTGTCATTATCAAGATGGTCAAAAGTGGGTTGGGGAGAGAGAAAATGGTCTTTTTTGTTTGTTTTTTGTCACATGAGGGGACAATGTCTTAATTGAACAAAAATTGCCCAATGGCTAATGGCTATACAAGGAAACCAGCAAGATTGATTGTTTCTTTAAGGGTGTGACAGGTTTGGGTGGGGACAGCCACTCACTCTGCCTGATGCAAGTCTTGCTCAGAGCAGACAAAAGGATACCATAGAATTAGAACAAACCACTTCATCCATCATCACTCCTACCACCTCTTCTCAATGGGTGTGGGTAATGGCGTCCCAAACTCATCCTCTCATCTGCTTAAGGCAGGGGAAACCACAAAAACAAGATGAGTGGTAGCTTAATGGCATCCTTGGGAGTGGGTCTCTTGTGCAAGGACAATGCACTGACGAGCAGATTGTTCAGCTGAAATAAAAGGCGTGAATATTGACGAGGTAAAGAGTGTGCAAAGGGCTTGGCTCGGCCCTCACAGTAGGTGGGTGTGGGGACAAAATGTCTTAATGAAAAGCCATCAAGGAGCAGTGGAAGAAATAAGATAACGGACTGAATCAGATGACCAGAAATTATGGCCTGAATAATTAGTGTATCAGAGAAAACATGAAAAGACATTCTTGTATAATAATAACAAAGATTGCATTTTACCAAAAAAAAAAAAAAAAAAAAATATATATATATATAAAATGCTGACTATTGTATATGGAGGATAATGCTTTTTAAGGCATGCAGTTTTTGTAAGTACTGCTGTCATATCACCCACTCACCATTTGCATCTTGGTGGCTTTATTGCCTTTCTTTGAGATGAAATAATTACAAAAAATTATCTAGTCTGTTGCTCTGGCCATCAAGATTCTCAAATGCTGTCAATCTTGATTTGCCATCTTCATTCACTTTCTCACTGAGGTGATATTACTTTCCCTCTGTCTATAAATAATTTTCAGAGCTGTTAATAGTTTCTTTTCTCAAACTTCTCACCTCTAGGATTCTCAAAAGAATCCACAGAAAGATCTGTAATGTTATTGGTCTTGACCTGGCATCTTGATTTCAGTCACTTTCCCAACATTGTGACATGCCTTCCCTCTGTCTTTTCTATAAATATTTTCCTGGTTGTTCTAAATTCTCCTTGGTATTGCAACCATGTGAATTTAAGCATGCTACTAGATTGGCAATTAGGTCTCATTGTTTTACTGTTGAACTAGCTAGATTTAACTTTCTTTTCTCACACTTCTTCCCTGTGGAACTCTATTCTGATTTCTTGCTTCCTTGCCACCGACAATCTCCAAAAATTTAAATGTAACTTCAAACGTAATCTTCTGTTTTTCTGGAAACTGTTTTTTTTTATTGTCCTTTCTCCTCACTAAAGTCTTCTTCATTCTCTTTCACTACCAGTAACCTGTTGCATTTTAGTGGTGTTATCGCCTTGCTTGGGGTGAAATGATTAAAAAAAGCAGCAAAATAGTAAGAAATAGAACATTAATGATATGCAAATTAGCAGATTAAATCTTTAAAACCTGAAGTTGGGCAGTAAGTATTTGTTTACTATATATATTATCTTACTTATTATAAAACACAGATTGTGTGTGTGTGTGTCTGTAACGTTTATATATTGGATCGGATTTCCTACATTTTTCAACAGATTTCAACAAAACTTCACAGGACTACATAAAATTACCTTGTGGTGGTTCTAACAGCGCCAAAAATAGGAAAAATATAATTGTTTTTGCACAAAATCAATTTGAAAACACGATTAAGAGACATCGTGAAAATGGAAGGGGGACAACTCACATCGGATTTCCTATATTTTTCAGCCGATAAAACAAAACTTCACTTTTTCTTTTTTTTTTTTTTTGGCAGGTAGTGTTTCTTATTCTCTTGCACAATTTTTTCTTTATTTTTAACATTCAGAATGCTTTAAAAATTCCATTTACAAGACAATTATTTATAATAAAATTCTATTCAATCAGTAGACTCATAACGATTGAAATCAATGTTTTTGTTTGAGTTTGACCAATTCGTAAAAAATAAATAATAAAAAAAAAAAACTAATTAAGATATGCGTGTCCGTCAACCTTAAACAATAATCTTTGTCAATTTTATTTTTCAGTCTTTATGATGGTCGATACTTGATCTATCTCTTACTGTTATATCCCCGGGCAACGCTGGGCTCTACTGCTAGTTTACTTATATATTTTCTTATGTATATAAAAGTGCTCTATTTTAAATACTTTTTAAAGAACTTTTTAATGCAAATAAAATAACAGTTTTTGATTATTTATCCATTAACACACCTGTTTCATGCAGTGCAATTTTCACATCTCTTTGGTTTATTTTCCTATTCTTGTTGCTTGCTGTCATAGAGTCCCAGTCTACTTAACTACTTAGCCCATAGCTGGAGGAAGAAGTGTGAAAGTGAATGTAGCAGACGAAGCAATAATTTGAATTACAGATTCAAGTTTTAATGTTGCAGTACATTATAATAGTAATAGTCTTGCTGTCTGAATTTCTTAGATGAAGCCTTACCATTATTAATTTTTGACTTCTTCCATCTTATTTTGTTGCTTGTTTACACCTAGTAGTAGTAGATATAATAGTCTTAAGTTGTCTGAATTTCTTACATGAAGCTTTGTCATTATTATTAATTTTTGACTTGTATTTCTTTCATCTTATTTTATTGCTTGTTTACACCTAATAGTAGTTGATGTAATAGTCTTAAGTTGTCTGGATTTCTTACATGAAGCTTTGTTATTATTACTAACTTTTGACTCCTATTCCTCTTATCCTAATTTCAGCTGCTTTTAAGCATGAGTCCCAGATAATCATTTCATGATTGTTTGTTAACAGTGTGGACAGAAAATAAGGACTAAGCCTCCTGTGAACTGTTGTTTTTATAACATTTTTCTGAAATGTCTTCATTGTTTCTCTACGTTACATGTATGCAATTCACATTATCATGTGTTATTGGCCACAACAAAGTGAGCCTTTGTCCTAACCTTTTTTTGATGACTGACCATTGTATAAGTAGATAATGTTACATATTATGTGGCCACTTGTTCTACTGTTGTTACAATTCTATTATTCCAAGACCAGTGATGAGAAGAGGGGGACAGAAACCAAATCCAGTGGAATGTATAAATTAATTATCTGTTGTGTCTTTTCTCGTTAATTTCGCCATAAATTCTTATGAGCTCTGATCGATTCCCTCAAAGCTTAATTATTTACTGACTAGAATCGGTCACTTCTTGGGAGATAAAATGATAAGATTACGTCAGGCAGATTATGGAACTCTGAAGCAATGCTGAGCACTTATCGCTATTTGTTCTGTCCTTTCTTTATTTTTCCTCTTTCTCTTCGTTGCTCATTTCTACAAGTCGTTCATCTTTTTGTCTTCACACACTTCTTTCCTTACCTTTTTTTTTTTTTCATTTTCTACTTGTGCTAATCGTCATTCCTTATTGATTTTCTCTTCAGTTTTTATTAATTTTCCCTCTCTTTCTCCTTCGTTTCATTTTATTCTCTCTTTTTCATCTTTTTGTCTACAGCCAAATCACATGGAAGCACCAGTTCCCATACAATCCCTGAAGTTAAGCAATGTTGAGCTTGGTCAGTACCTAGATGGGTGACCACTTTGGAATATCAGCTGCTACAAGCTTCGATGTGCAGGTGGTGTAATGGATAATAGTTTGGAATATTTTATTGGAGAGCTGAGTTCCAATTCCTTTTGGGATTGTTATATTTATTTATGTGCAAATAGCCTTGGGAAAGGTATGAATGCACCTTTTCTACCCCAGGTATGGGTTAATTAGTAAGACTTGTATCAATGGATCATTATCATCATCCCACCCTCAAATTCTTACTATCTAAAAATATTTTCTTGCCTTAAATCACCTGCAAAGGGTTGATGAGCTATAGAAAACCACTCAATCAATATTTTTCATCTTTTCCATCACATCTTTTTTGTATCCCCCCTTTTTTTTTTTTTTTAACTTTTTTTGTCTCGAATTTCTTTTTTTAATTTTATTCTTTCTTAAATGTCATTTTCTTCTAATTCTTGAGACGTTCTTTTATTTTCCTGTTTCTTCTTTTTGTCTGTTTTCCTTCTCTTTCTCCTTTCATTTTCGTCTTATCTTTCTCTCTTTTCTTTCATTTTTATCTTATTTATTCATTTCTTTTTCTTCTTTTTGTCTGTTTTTCTTCTCTTTCTCTTTTTTCTTCACTTCATTTTATTCTCTTTCTTTTCTTTCACCTTATTTTTTATTTTTCCTCCTTAACTTCCTGATCTTTACTTTTTCATTCTTTTTTCTTTCTCTTTACTTTCTACACCTTTTCATTCTTTTTTTTCTTTCTCTTTACTTTCTACACTTTTTCATTCTTTTTTTTCTTTCTCTTTACTTTCTACACTTTTTCATTCTTTTTTTTCTTTCTCTTTACTTTCTACACTTTTTCATTCTTTTTTCTTTCTCTTTACTTTCTACACTTTTTCATTCTTTTTTTCTTTCTCTTTACTTTTACTTTCTTTCCCTTCATTTTTTTTGTTTTACCCAAACATCTTTCTTTTTTACTCTTTTCATTTTTCCTCATTTTTTTAATTTCAAAAGAAATTTAAATTTAATTTGATAATAATATCTCAACTTGTTAATTATATTTATTTTTTATTTTAGAATTATACTTTTAATTGTAATTAATTTATTATTTAAATTTTAATAATACATATTTCAATTTTAACTTTAGCAAATATTTAAATTTCATTACTAATAATGATTGTTTCCATTATTTCAACTTATAATAATGTGAGGGGTGATGAAATGTAGTTCTTGACCCAACTCTCTTTGCAAAATCACTGTTCCAATGGCCAATGAAAATATTGAGGGCTTATAGCCATAACACGTTGAAACATTGGTTTCTTGTGTGATCACCAAAGTTAAGCAATGTTGAGCATGGCCAGTACTGAGATGGGTAACTACTTGGGATTACCAGATGCTGTAAGCTTGAATATGTGGGTGGTGTAATGTATAATGCATACAGATAGAAAATGAATTCAATAAATATTAAAAAGGGGGGTGCATGTATTTCAAGAAGGTGTTGACTTCCATTTTTCTGCAGTATGATGGAAAATATTATCACAAGGTGAATCGATTCTTGATTTATGAAAGACAGCCTTATTCTACTTTCGATAAGATGAACTATTTGAAGGATGTTTGCTGTTTACCACAGGTCTACACAAAAAATAGAAAGGAGGATAAAACAATGATGAGCCTATTCACTAGACATATTTAACTTATAGAGTGAGATGATTCTGAGAGAATTACATATCCTACCAGGATTCATTATTGGTGTAACAAAACTACTCTCAGTTCCCCACCATAGAGAACCCTCCCTGTCTCCTATCAGCATGGCTGATGCCCAACTCCACTAGAGTGTCTCTCTCAGCCTTCTTGGTATCACGTTTTCCAATGACCTTCCAATAGTTTCATCTACCACAAGGAAAGATGGTTCTCTGTTGTGCCAGAACGTTTTTCTCAACTGAGTCTATCCTTCAAACCTACAAATTTACCATATGTCCTTGCATTGTATACTGTTGCCATATATGGTCTGTTCATCTTGAGGTCCTCGACAAATCCAGAGACGCATATGCAATGTGATAGGTAGGTCTTGATCTGGCATTTCGTCTGCGGTCACTTTCTCACAGACATGATGTGGCTTCCCTCTGTCTTTTCTACAAATATTTTTATGGTACTGCTCTGATGAGCTACTTTCACTGGCACCCCAACTGCACAAATTTAAATTTGCTACTAGGTTGGCATCTCGGTCCCACCTTTTCACTGTCAAAACAGTTAAATGTAACTGTATCTTCTACTTTAACAGCTTCTTCTCTTGCACTTCCCAACAGTGGAACTCCCTTCCTCTTACTTGCTTCCCTGATAGCTATAATCTTCAAATATTCAAATGTAATGTCCGTTGGCATCTTCTGATGCCTTGATCTCTGTCCTCCTCTATATCCTTTCTTAAAACACCCTTTTTTACTCTTGCTCTTATTCTCTGTAACCCCTTGTGTGCTAGTAGCACTCCTGCCTTGCTTGGGGTCAAATGCTTAAAAAAATATGCAGATGATGAATTGTTGATAGCAGAGAAAGGAAACTATAGAAGGTAGTGAAGGAAAGTGATATGTCCCAGAAAGGGATATATTTGTTCGAAGTAGCAAAGTGGTTGTTGACTACTGTAACCGGGTAGGACAATCTAGCAGGTAACCGTAATGGACTGGATCTCATCGTAGTGGTAGGCATAGGCAAAGACACTAGGTGTAGTCCATGTACCTGCACATCAGTCTGTATTTATGGCTGACACCAGCCAATCATATTACTGTGAGGGGGAACCCAGGTGTATGCATATTCATTACATCAGAAAGCAAGACGACAGAATGTGTAGTTGTTAGCTAAAGGAACAACTCAAAATGCAAATTACAAAATGGAGACAGCAAAATCAAAGTATGAACATTTAAATATCTGGTAAGCATTCTAACAGAGGACAGAAAGTGTGATACTGAAATCTGAAGCCAAATTGGGATAGTGAAAATGCCTTCCAAAAGCTAAGCCAAGTATTAAGAAAAAATTTGTTAGAAACAAAGAAGAGAGTACTGAACTGTTATGTAATATGTTCTCCTATATGGCAGTGGATGCTAGACAATCTCATCACAGATGAAGAGCCTAGAAGCAACAGAAATGTGATTCTACAGAAGGATACTGAGAATATGGGTTGAACATATGAATAACAACAACGTTTTAGAGAAAATAGCAATACTTATACTTAACATCAGGAAGAGATAGTCAAAATTTCTAGGGCACATCATGAGGAAAGAGGGCTTGGAAAATTTGATACTCACAGGATATATTGAAGGTGAGGAGGAGATAGGAAAATAATGCATAACTTACCTTGTAAGCTTGAATGGAAGAACAGGGTTTAGGCGAGGTAACGAAAATACAAAATTTATTAGGAGCTCTGAAGATCCATAATATCTAAGTCTCTTTGTATTTATTGATCTAAGATATTCTGCCATTGTGTAATGTTTAGTGTAGCTAGCTTGGCTGACCAGTACTACTAAGTAATGAGGTCAATCCTTACTGGATACCCTATACAAAATTTGACATTAAATAATTCAACAAAGGTTGAGATGTTGTAAAATCAACCAACCTAACCATGTATAGTTAGTTGGATCCTCACTGGGTGCCCCTTATAAAATTTAATATTGAGGATTGAAATATGAAATCAAACAACCAATAATCAACATGAAATAATAGTTAACAATCTTCACTAGGTGCCCTACATAAAATTTGATATTAAATAACCCAACAAGGATTGACATGATACAAAACCACCCAATGAACAACTGGTATTAGTTAATGGTTAGTGAGGCAAGTTAGTTTGACTATTACTACTAAGTTCGATCCTCACTGGGTGCCCTATATGACATCAAATAAGTTAAAGGATGACATAATGTAAAATCAACCAACCCAAAACAAATTGTAAACATTTTTTTTTTAAGGATTTAGTTTTCAGGTTTATTTGTGAACATAAAAAGGAAACTAATACTTCAAATCAGGAAGAGACAATTGAGGTTTCTAGAGCATATAATGAGGAAGTAGGGCTTGGAAAATCCGATACTCATAGGACGAATTGAGGGCAAGGGTTTAGAAGAAAAACACATAATCTACTTAATGAGCTTGAGTAAATGGATGGCAGAACAGAGCTTAGGAGAAATAACAGAAAGTTTATTAAGAACTGCAAGGGACAGGAAGTTGTGGAGAACAACAATCGCCTATGTTCTGAGGTGACATAGCACATAAAGAGGAAGGTGAAGATCTTTTTGCTTTCTAAGCATATTTTTTTATGTTTTGAAAAAAAACATTTAAATTTTGTTAGAATTTCCCAAACATAGAGATGTTGAGATTTTGACCATCACAGTACCTTATGTGCCAGACAAACCACTGCTTTTCTCTACAGTATTATTTTTTCACTCCAGGGTTAAGGTTAACCTGTTTTGAAATGTCTGTTGGAGGAATCACTCCCGACTGACCGTCTCTTAAGGCGGTGATTCCTGAATGGGGCAGTAGATAACAGGTGAGGCAGAATGATTGAAAGATAATCAAAGTTTTTTTTTTTAAAGATTCATATGCTAAATATATGATTTCAAAATTTAAAATATTATTATAGATTACTTGTAATTACTTGCATGAATCCCAGTATAAAAAATTATAAATAATTACTAACCGATTTTATTATTGTGATATTTTTGCATTATATGAAGTACTAAAAACACAGTAACTACACTCTGCAAATTGGAGGAGAGAGTTATCAGTGATAATTTGCTGACTTTGAATCTGCAGTTATCTCCCCTTAACTCTCCGTTTTTTTGTTTTTTTTTAATTTACTTTTTGTCACATAAAATTTGGTGAGGCACAAGATCATTTTCATTCTGAAAATGCAGGCCAGAGAAAAAAAAAAAGGTTGGGAACCACTATCTTAAAGACTGTAGCCATACTCACCATACTTAGCCAAAATTGTGGGTTGGTGAGGCTGTTTACCCATAGTTGGTGGTTTTGAGTCCAGATTTGACCTTGGATAAAATTGGGTGGCAACCCAAATCAGAAGCTACCTATGTTGGTTCTACTATTTATCCATAGCTGGGGGGGAGAAGAGATGGATTCATACCTTTTCCAAGGGTATTTGCATACAAGTGAACGTAACTGGAATTCAAACTTGACTCTCTGATTTCTCAATCTGAACTGCTATCCATTACACCACCATGCCTGCAATCGTTCTTTACGATATATTGTCCATTTAAACAGCTGCTTACTGCATTTGTTCACCATTTGGTTACTGTTATATACCAATTCCAGTTAAAAGGATAGACTTAACAGTTTCATCATTCGGTCATTTATTTATTTTTCCACCAGCCAAACAAAGATTAAATAATGGTTTATTTAGGCAATTTATGCTCCCTTTTTTTGCCAGACATACACAGTGACATGTGGCAGTGTGATCTCATTCAACAGGCCAACTGCTATGTATTATTTATTTACACATGTATACAGATGTGTAAAAAAAATCATTTTTTTTCTCTTAAAAAGCAAAGAACAATTTATCTCAATCTTTAGTAAACAAAGAATTTGACAAAGTGTCTGGCACTTTTACTATTCATAGATTTGTGTAGAGAGCCTGAAACAGTGTTAACACTTGCCTTAAATAAATTTATCAATGTAAATAAAATAGCAAATATATATAAATAAAGCACAGTGTATATGTGTCTTTCTGTCCTTCCATCTTTCAATCTTGGCAAATTATATACAACCTGAAGTAACAGGTAGTAACTACTGTAGCTGCACACAATTAAAAATTAAATTAATAACTTATTTAAAGTCTAATTTAACAAATTATCAAAAAGAAAACGATTTAAAAGACAATTCTTTATTAAAAGTTTTGCTTTTCATTGAAATTGATAGCGTCCAATTAAACAGTAATTAAAACCTAAGCAGGGCATGGTATGTGCTCACATGTTTTTTTTTTCTTTTTCTAGCATGCATACTGCAACTTGTTCAAAATATTACATAGTTTGGGTTCTC